CAACATTCTCAGGTCTCGGTGCACTGCAAACAGCTGTCACCTTTTTCAGGTCTGGTTTTATTCCTTCTGCAGTGACCAAATGTCCCAGTATCTCGATCTCTTTCAGGCCAAAGATACACTTATCTTTATTTAAAGTTAAGCCTCTGTCTTGGAATCTTTGGAATACTTGCCTGAGCCTCTGTTCTATTTGTTCTTCCTTTTCCTACAACATCATCCATATACCATCCAACACCTGGCATTGCACACAACATCGAGTCCATAGCCTTCTGATAGGTCTCTGGGGCACTAGACAAGCCAAAAGGAACTTTTCTGAAACGGTAACAACCCAACTTGCCAGAACCCTTTTCGAGCATCTAACTGCAAAAACCTTGGCTCCTTGCACTGCTTACAATATGCTGTCAACCGTTGGTACTGAATGTCTCTCTCTGATTACTGCTTTATTCACTTCTCACAGATCCACACACAGTCTCACTTCCTTGGTGTCTTTTTTAGGTATTATCAGAATATTTGAGATCCATTCTGCACCTTCATTCACATCTTCAATAATTCCATCATCCAACGTTTTTATCTAACTCCTGATTAACAGCTTCTATCATCGGATAGGGTACTCGTCTCAGACTTTGAGCTACTGGCAAAACTTTCTCATCTACTGAAACCTTGAGACTGTCCTAAACCTTTAAAAGAGTGACTCATATTCCTGTGCTAACTGTCACGATTATAGTCCCCCCCTCCTTAAGGGTGCTCCAGCCCTTTCACTTGAGACTTTATTCTGTGCACCTGTTTCCTATTCCCAGCCCACCTTAAAAGCCAGGCGCTGACGCTCATCCTGGCTCTGCATCTGATTTCCGTATCGTGTGAGTCCGGGACCTGGAAGCGCCTGGTCCCGTTAAGGTTTTAATCTCTGTTCCCATTCCTGTTCCCTGTCCGCCGGTTCTGACCCGGCCTTCGTGTTCTGATGGATCTCCTGGTTTTGGACTTACCCTTGTGTTTTGGATATTCTCTAAGGACTACTCTTTTGGATTGTTCACCTCGGCCACACCTCCCCCGTGCACCAGCGCACCTTGGACACGCCCCCCTGTCTTCAGCCCCATATTCCTGCATGACGTTTCCCCAGTGTTTCCCCACTTCGTCGGATTGTGTTGTCCGCATAGGGTCCGGAAAGAACTGTTCGTTACACTAACTGCTTAAATCTCTCTAAAGACTAGTCAACCGCATTGACAGTGTCTCCTACACTCAGAATTTTCAGATCAAAACATGCTTTTCTTCCCAACAATGCTTCTACATTTCCTTCAATTACATAAACTTTGTCCTTTATTACATTTTTCTGCCATTTCAGCTGTGCCTAGAAGTAGCCAACACACTTAAGTGGACTAATTTGTTCATAGGCATGAAATTTCATCTTAGTCTGCTGAAGTTCAGTTCTGTGTGCAAACACTTTCTTCAAAAGTTCTACTCCAATGAAGTTTCTTCGACTTCCTGTATCTATCACCATTTTTATCTCTTGGCCATTTATTCAAATAGTTTCTTTACCTTCAGGGTCAATGGAATTAACAAATTCATCTGAGTCTGAAGAAGGTTCTTGAACTGCTCGCAGTTTTGTCCCTTCCTTATTTGTATTAAGTTTCTTTTCCTGATGGGAACCGTCTTTCTTTCTACACACTCGTGCATAATGTCCTGTTTTCTTACAGTGTAGACATTTTGCTGTTCGCACTCCGCATTCATCTGCTTTGTGCGTTGTTAGTCCGCACCTGTAACATTTAATGTCAGCCGTCCCCTGTTCTTCTATATCTCTAGCTTGACTGCATCCGGCTGCTCGGCTTTTGTTTGTAAAGTTTGAGCAAGTACCCCGTTCAGTGTTTCTTGTGAAGTAAACATGACTCTCTCTAGCTTTGTCACTGTGGTCAGAAAGCATTCTTGATTGTTCTTGAGCTGCTTCATGAATTCTAGTGACTGTAAGAGCTCTTTCTAAAGTCAGCCCTTCCTCCTGCAACAATTTATCATGCAGTCTCTTATGTGCACATTTTTCCAGAAGCTGATCTCTTAACATGTCAGCTTCCAACACTCCAAAGTCACACGATTTAGCCAGTCCTCTTAGTGCATTCACAAAAGCATCAACAGATTCGTCCTGAGACTGAGTTCCCTGCCTAAATTTATGCCATTCCAAAACCACATTTCTCAGCGGTGTAAAGTAAGCGTCTAAGGCAGCTACAGTCTGTTCATATGTTCCTTTTTCTCCAGGGAGGTTGGCGAAAATCCGTGTACGGGCGCCCCGATACAGTGCAGTAATGTAGCCCGTCTCACGGCATCCGGAGCTTCTGTAGATCCACTGGCGATTTAAAAAAATCTGTACGCCCCCATCCATATCTTGTATTCCGTATACAAATCCGGAGCTCCGAGGTTCAGTGGAAGCGGTAATGAAAGCTGGGCATAAGCAAAGCTTCTTGGCGCGGCGGCCATATCTTCCATGGCGCAAGCTAAACGAACAGTCCGAATATTCAAGAGTTCGTTTCTACCAGCAAGAGAACTAAAATCTGCAGTGTTCTGCTCGCTTTGAGTTCGTCAAGCACTCATCTCTCGTCGCCATAAATGTTGTGTATCATAATAAAGAGCCGTTTTTAAATTATTTTAACTATTTTATTAACTAAACAGATCATGCCCTTACACCATATATTCCTGCCTTCTAGTCTCTCGTTCTGTTGTCTCGTGATGTCTACTCACTATACTACACAACTTAAATTCTATAATTGGGAAAAGATTGTCCCACAGCATTGACCGGGATTTGAAACCAGGTGTTTTCTGGCAACAGCCCAGATACTTCTAGGAACAGCCCAGATACTTCTAGGCCACGCTATGCTTTCACTGCTCCACCTGGTGGTTTTACAAAGTAGTGGTAACCCGCAGTGCAGGCACTGCAATGTACTGCAATATCCTGCAAGCATTTCTGAATGAGTGGATCTGTACTAAAAATTATAATAGTGAATTATTATACACTAGTAGTAGCATTATATACACAAATCACAAATATATTCTTGTGTGCATATATCAATACATATATACTAATTATATACAAACCATATTCTTTGTTTTTTGCAAATGCAGATTGATGACAATCTCACCCCACAGCAAGTGATCCAGGCACACTATGACACGATGGGTGAGAAGGTGTCTTCAGAAACATTTGAGGAAGCTATCCAATCCATTGTTTTAAGCAATGCCTGGGTGGATCTGAGGCACGTATTGAATGAGGAGTATCATTTTGACAATGAGTCCTTTCTGAAGGGGAAAAAGCTCATTACTGATGGGATAGCCAGTGTGAAAGGCAACATTAGGCAGCAGAACTTCTATACAGCAAGAAAGAGACTGGGGCAAATCTTTCACACCCTGCAGGTGAGTAAAACATTTCATCGTGCCTGGTTAAAAGTAAAGATACTATGTGTCTATGAGGTTTTTATTGTTGATAAAAGCAGGATAGCAATCTTTCCAATCATACACCTTATTTGTCAGTCATCTCTACCTACTGTAGCCTCCACATCCATATCAATAAACTATGAGAATTATCAGAATATTTAACTTGCTTCCCAATATGTAAAATGTATGAAACTGTTTTATTGCAGAGATTTAATGATTCCTTGTTCCTGGGGACTATTCAATTAATAGAATGGAAACTATAGAATCTGAAATCTACAGTATGCATCATTGGATCAGAACATCAGAATCCAAAAAGACCATACCTTTAAATTACAAGAATTAAGAGTAAAACAAACCTGACAGAAGCAAGAAAATAATATTTTTGTGATTATAATTATTACATTATTCCAAAGATGGGATACAACAGAAATCCAGGAATAAAAAAAAAACCTGAAAAAAATAGCATCTCTAAGCACGTAAAGCCAATAGTCTGTCTGGGTGTTTGTCAGGTTGCTATAAATATATCACCTCCAGAAAAAGGGTGTTTTTGATAAAACAAAGGAATTTTAGACATACCTTCTCATTAAATGTTATAAAGGTTATTATATGGTACATATTTAAACAACAGTTGCTCCCTTAGCATTGACACAATCCTGTTTCATGTTTCTTTATTATCATTCTCTTCCCAACATGTATGTTTGTATTTCCTAGGATTTCTACAGCCACAGTAATTGGATCGAGCTGGGCTACAAGACTCCTTTTTCCAACTTGATCCAATCCAGTGCCTCTCTCGAAAATATTGCATGTGAGCTTCTGTCTGTTGTTCTGTGCTGACACAAAGAGTGACGACTAATCTTCATTTCTCCTGCATCAGCACACTGCAGAACCTCCCAGTTTCCAGAACACAATCTCGACAAGACATGTCAATCAGCTGGTTCATCTATATACTTGTTATGGCAGCAGCAATGTCCCACCTGTGCACGAATAATGACCATACCTACAGTATCTCATTGGGAACAGACTATTTAAGATAGGACTTTGCTTTACTCAGAGCTCAGTCTTAGAGCTTGTTCTGAGTATGAGATGGGAAGAGATTCCATTCCTAATTCTCGACTCCTTTATAGTCTACGTGCTTTATACCGTGGATTTTTTGGCTGTGGCCATGCTTGCTTTTTATTTCAACTATATCTTTGGATTGCATTTGTCTGTTTACTTGTTCGCCATGCCAGCTATTCTGCTTGCCTCACCTGCTCTTGGGTTCTCCTCTGGAGACTTTGAGTCTTCCTATCTTGACAGCTTCGGTCATCAGTAGAGGAAGCTGAAACAATCGCATTTTATATGGGATGGAACATTATTTAACCTTTTCTGTCTGGCACTTGCACTGCCACATCATTTCACAGTTTTGTTTATTGTGCAATAATAGTGTAAGATGCATGGAGAGATCGAAGATGCAAATTACAATTTGTTCTCAGCGAAGGATTATGTGTACAGAGTGTAGTTTGCACCTCTCCTTAAAAGATGGAGCTGAATATAATCAGTTCCATGAGGCACAGTTCATTAGCCAAGACATTGATTTCTTCATGCCTGTTATCCATCCATTCTTTTTCCTGTTCAGAGTTGTGTGGCAGCTTGAGCCTATCACTGCAAACAATGGGCCTAAGGCAGGGTGCAGCCTAGGTCCATCACAGGGCAGACACACACACACTGACACCCAGGGCAAATTTGCCCAGAAATCAATTAACAGGATCACCCAGAGGAAACCGACATGGACACGGTAACAAACAAGCTCCTTGTAGATAGCACTCCAGATCTGGAATCGGGGGCCCTAGCACTGTGAGGCAGCAGTGAGAACCACTGTGTCTCTATTCCACCCTCGTGCTTGTCATGTAATATTTTACTCTTAGGAGTCACAGAAAACTCTATATAGTAGTATCACCACCTGAACTTTAAACGTGATTACAAATATGTCACATTTAAAGATTTCCTGCATGACAGCCAGTCATCATATATTGTCTAAAGAATTCACTATGTAATTTAAGCATTATGTTTATTTACACCTTAAACCCTTCTATATCAGGGTTTTCACTATATTTCCCCAAAGGAAACAGGTAATAGGAGTCAAAGCGTGAAGACATAGAAGAAGATTATTTTATAAACAGCAAAATGTATTTTATACTCTTGTGCTTTACTGTACATACATTTTGGAGCTATACTGGTGTATTAATATTTAGTTCTTTCTCTACTTAATATCTCAAAGGTTCACATGTCAGGTATGTGTCAGTTTCTCTGAGTGTCTGTGACTGTCATCTGGCTGTTCCACCCATCAGCACTACTTGCAAAACTTGTCTTTTCCTTCAGCTAAAGGTGAGCCAACATGCAGTGACTGTGCTGAGGGGACATGTCCGGACAACACCCTGGAAAGTATATTACAAGGAAGGAAGCTCACATCAGGGTATTTTGATCTCAGGCCTTGGGCATCAAAGCCAACAGGTATTGTAAACCAGTTACACCTGTTATAATAAACTAAATTAAACTACAACTATATATTTCATATTATTTGTTAATTTTAGAGGACATTTATTTCTGTTAAGATTTCAGTCTTCATTTTCCTCAAGTATTTCTTTAATCTTGATAAGTAAAGAAATTGCCTTTCAGCTCATACAAATTACTATGTATGAATGACTAATTGTATTTATTGCTCGTCAATAAACATCCATCCACCCATTTTTGAACCACTTCATCCAATTCAGGGTTGCAGGGGAGCCAGAGTCTTTTCTGGCAATCAGTGAGCACAAGGCGGGATACACCCTGGAAGGGACACCCGTCCATCACAGGACACAACCACAGGGTCAATATTTTAACCTAATTTTAACTAATATGGCTTTGGACTGTGGGAGGAAACCGGAGCACCAAGAGGAAACTCACTTGAACACGAGAAGAGCGTACAAATTCCACACAGACCGCACCACAGGAATTGAGTCCCGGGCCTTGTCACTGAGGCAGCAATACCAAGCACTGTGCCACTGCTTCGCTCATCAAAAAACACATCACAGTTTAAATTAAGGTTTATTATTTTTATTTTTTGTATACACAAATCAATTGTGACAAGAGTCCTTGAAAATGATAATGTGTAGTGCTTATAAGGTTGTTAATAATAATAATGATAATAATAATAATAATTGCTTACACTTACATAGCGCTTTTCTGGACACTCCACTCAAAGCGCTTTCCAGTGTAACGCTGCGCGTTGTAGATTCAATGATGAATCTATGCGGAGTTGTGGAGCTGAGTAGGGAGAGATTTAAGGTAAATGCTGGTTCAATACCAAAGATAATCCAGGAGGAGAAGGCAGAGAAATACAAAATGCTAGACGAGATCAGGATCAAAGGTGAGTTCTGGGTTCGAGTATCCAAAAGCAAAAGCAAGTAGTTACCAATGCGAGGTCAGGGGTTCCAAGAAGCTAACAATACTGAGCAAAGGAACAAGTAACAGGTTTATTCCTGCAGAAAAGAGAAGAGAGAAAACACAACGTTTCAGCTCTGGAGCCTTCTTCAGGTGTCTTTCTTCTCTTTTCAGCGTGGAATAAACCTATTACTTGTTCCTTTGCAGCCAACGCATGTTGACGCAGCTACCCACCTGAAATATTGAGCAACGATCAGTGAAATGGAGAAGGCTTTAGTATGTTTGGAAGTGGAGGGTTTGTTAACAAGTGAGGCACTCTGATGGGATGAAGTGATAGATCGGCGGCATTTGCAGGGATTGCCTCCAGATGGTGCTTGATTGGGGCGAGACCGTCTGTGTGGAGGATTAGCAGGGGGTGTGACATCCAGGTCATGGGGATCCCCTCCACCACCAATAGTGTGCAGCCCCACCTGGATGATGCAACCGCAGCCATAGTGCACCAGAACACTCACCACACATCAGCTATCAGAAGGGAGGAGAGCAGAGTGATGAAGCCAGTTCATATTTAACGGCTCATCCGAAGGACAGAGCCTTTTTACAGTATAGTGTTCCCACTAACACCTCTTCCAGCAGCAACCTTAGTTTTTCCCAGAAGTCTCCCATTCAGGTATTGACAGGCTCACACCTGCTGAGCTTAACGGGGCTGCCAGTTATGAGTTGCTGGGTGATATGGCTGCTGGCTAATGATGGCAATGAATGATGGTTTGTATGTCTTTGCTGAGCCTGAATACAAATTGCTAGCAATGTTATCATGTCCAGTGCAATGGAAACATTATTTCAGAAACATGAAAAGTTAATTACAAAACAGTGTAAGCATTATTGAAAGATTAGTTTAGAGGTTAAATGTGAATGGCAGTCTGCAATTGTTCAGTACAATGTCTCTGGGCTCTAAATGCAATCTTTTAAAATGTGATCATCACTACGACTTGAGATCTACATGGAAGGTAACAGACAGCAATGATAAAACGTTCAGGGCCTTTAACTGCTATCAGTAACAAAACCGTGTACAGACTTTAGCAAACAATTAACATTTTCTCCTACTGGAATTGTCAAGCCTTCCTGAGTGCTGACTGTTTTTCCTGTTACTGCTCTTATCACAAACCTAAACTGTACATATATACTTTATACTATGGTTTATTCTCTCTCCCTGTGTGTTCCCCTCTTTCTCACTTTTCTACTCTCTATCTCTCCAACTCTAGGGAAGTGTAGTCATGGTGGGTTGTCTGATTTCACTAGTGATGATATTCCCCGTGGAGGTATCAGTAAGGATACTTACAGTTCAAATCATGGCTCTCTGCATGAAATAGCTGCACAAATAGCCACCACAGCTACGATGGAACAGCTTCAGGACCTCCGCAATGCAGCTGGAGATGATGAGTTTCTACGGTATGAACAATTTTGAAATTTATTATTTTTAACACGTGTCAGAGTGCCAGTCATTCAGTGTGATCATTCAGTATATCTCAGTGGACTTTTAGAGTGTTCGCTCACTCATGGTCAGTGCTATGTCATTTTGGCCATTGAAGTGCAGTTCTGTATTTCACTTTCTAAACCCCTACTCTCACTTTTCATTCCAAATCGTTCTCACACATAACTGTTCTTCTGTCTTCCAGGTTAATGGGAATTTCTCGTCCTTCTGTGCTCTGTTTTGTCATTGACACTACAGGTAGTATGTTTGATGACATAGAAGAGGCTAAGAGAAGATCCTTCTCCATTATAGACACAAAACGTGGAACCTCCAATGAACCCTCTGCTTATATTCTGGTCCCCTTTAATGATCCTGGTGGGTAATGTATGATAATATACTGATACATAAATGCAGGACTCATGTTTTATGTATTTAATCAAATATGTTAAACAATTATCAAATACAATCACTAAAACTATGAATACCAATATACATCAAATAATTATTAAGTATTACAACTCTCAAATGAACGTTATAAAAAAATATCAGCTACTGTATGACCTGAGAATGAGAATTGCAGGGTGACACGGCTGCTGGTGATTAGCCATGACCACAGTGATCACCTTATTGTGGTCTAAAACACAAAAGAGAAGGACTTGGAAATCAGCACCTACATGTGCTGACAATGTCCCTCAAAATTCAGAATTACAAACTCTGGATATATGGTACTGATAGCCCTGGGTAAAATCTTTTCTGATGGAAAATTTAAATTAAAGGAATCCTATCCCTGAGGTCCCTGCTTCACTCAATGAGTACCTCATTACCTCCTCATACTATATTAATATGAATAATAGGAAACTTATACACCTACATAATTTAAAGCGATAATCTTAAGTCTCTCCTCCACATTCAGACAACAATAACATTCTTGAAGAAAACTCAGTCTTCACTCGGGTTAGGAGATTGTCAGTGATCTTTTATTCGATCAGCTGAAGGGGAGCACAGCACGGAGAAAGGCACCCATTTAATATGCTCGCTCAACTGAAGTTTCACTTTTCCTTTTATACATTAAATGTAGGCGAGACTTGAACATATCAAAGGAACACAAAAGGCACAGGAAACTCACAGAAGTCTTTCAAACAAACAAAATAGGACAGGACCATTCCATTTGGCATCCCGCAATCTGTTTTATGTCTCTCTGATAAAACACACGGGTGTGAAAAGTCACAGGCTTTGGTTGCATTAAGACAGCTGTCTCAGGTGCAAACAGAAAACCTCTCTCGCACATAGTCACAGTCTTGACCCTTCTCAAGAGTTCGTCTCATTTAGTCTTCCACTGCAAGACAGCCTTTGCAACATTGTGCTGTACTTCTAATGAAACAATGCAGGTACACCTGACTTATGACAGAAATTATCTTTAGTTCCTTAAACACGAGCCGCATGTGATTTGATTATGTTGTTCTTACGAGTGCATTGGTATTTTGTGACTGGACAGTCAGAACTAGGATTTAACATTAGAAGTAGGCTCCATCGAAGATATAGATGCCTCAATGTATTATCTGGACCCAGCCATTCACCCATTAATTTACTGTACATCTGATGCCCTACAGCCCTTATACCTGCAAATTCAGATGACTATACTAAAAGTGTTGAATTAAATTCTCTATGTAGTATTCAGCACTACATTTTTGAAGAGTAGATATATTCCTTTCTTAATGCATTTGTATGTTTGCATTTTAGCTTTAACTTGGCTAGAATTAAAACTGGCGTAGACTACTCTGGAGCCTTTTAGAAAATACTGCTTGACACGTTAATTTTCTATTGTGTGTATAGATTTTGGACCAGTGACAAGGACAAAGGACCCAGAAGTTTTTAAAAAGAAGATCAATGCTCTCACTGCCAGTGGAGGAGGTGATGAGCCAGAGATGTGTCTGTCTGCCCTTCAGGTGACTATATATATAAGTCCTCACAGAGTCAGCTAAAATCAGCATGTTATCTCCCAGTCAGAAAGCCCATGAAGGTACAGTAAAAACAAAGCTTGAAGGCGCACAGCCCTTTTCTCATCACAGATGCAGTACGGTATGTCAAACTGAGTATCACATACATCCAATTTTTTTGAACCACCAATCAACAATTTTGAACCTCTGTCATATTCTTCTTTCGTTCCACGCCTTGACTCCTTGTTGAACAATTATCCAGACCCCTATAGACACATGTGGCATCTTAGTAACATATGAACTCCAGATCTACAGGACAATATGAGGAGACTTGTGTGCGATTGGATTTAAAGTGTGGTTCATAAGGGGTAAGCTCAAAAGTGCTGCAGAACATAACTACATGTAGTAAATAACAGCATATTTTATAAATTGCTTTTACATTGACATTTTGAATCTGTGTATGTACCTGCATTTCATTATTCTTGTAACCCAGGTTCTCTGAAGGAAGATAGTAGCCATCCGCCAATTAGATATCACTTGGTGAAAGAATGAATGAGTGTTTGTGACAACTAGGCTTATCACAAGTGTGACACTGAGTGGTTCAAGGACCCAGTCACTGCTAGTCTGAATCTCAGATATATGTTTGAATAAGTTGTAACATAGATGTCATACAGAAAAGTAGTTCAGGTGCTCACACCTGAAGAAGTCTCCATGACCGAAAGGTTGTGTTTTCTTTCTCCTTTTTTGCAGCATGGAATAAACCTATTACTTGTTCCTATACAGAAAAGTACTCTGAAGTAGGACACATAATTTAATCATGCTTTCACTGGTGTGCACTTCAACCCCCTGTAGGACTTAGCGATGTTTAGAATGTGGAAATCACATTCACAATCCAGTGAGAATGGTGACTTTTCTGTGGGCACCCAGGAATAATAAAATAATAAAAGATGAGTGTGTGGTCAGAAAGGCATGTTACTCAAGTCAGGTCTATCTAACAGCACCAGACTGATATTGCACTTTGTTCAGACACATGGGTTGGCCCATAATGACACTCTATATGATTTACTGGGGGAAATGTAGACAATCATTCAAATATCATAAGCATATGGAGATTAATGTCATTTTCCAGAAACAACAGCAAGCAAAAACATTGTCTGAATATACAGAAAACGGAGATCCGCCATCTAGTGATATTCAAATGGATTTTACTGTAAATGAGAGCAACAGACCTGGAATCATTTTTTGATAAAAGGTGTATGAGCTTCAACAACGTGGCGGAGCAGCTTGTTCCATACTCCCACAACCCTTTGTGTAAAATTGTGAAACTTGCATTTCCTTAGTTTAGTTTCCTCTACTGTCCACTGGTTCATGTTTTACTGTTGATTCTGAAGAAGTCTGTGATGCTTCATACTGTTCATAACCTTGCATTTTAAGTGCAAATGTGTTCCTTTGTAACTTTACTGATATTTTTTTAATCTGTCTCATTCCCCATCTCTTCTTCTTTATTCTGCCTGTGTATGGTTTTCAGCAGGCCCTCACCAGTGCCCCCCCCTTCCTCAGAGATCTACGTGTTCACTGATGCCTCAGCTAAGGACTCCTACCTGAAGAGCACCATCATTGCACTGATTGAGAGCACCAAATCTGTGGTCAGTAGTTCTAAATGTGTGTCCTGATTAAGAGAAACAGAAGTCCTTTGCAGATATATATGTGATTGCATTAGGCTAGATTTCAGACATCATTAGCCTTTAGGAATGATAATGACAACATCTGTACAGAAGTACATCCACACATCTGCACGACATCTTTCCAGAAAGACATCTGAAACCAAAATGATCCTGTATTATCACACCTCCCTCCTTGCCTTAACAACAGATTTGTCTCCTTCTAATCCTTTCTATTCATCAGCAGGTTTTGACTTCACAGTTCTGCCAGGAACACTCCTTCTCTCCTGCTTCCCACCTCCTCTCAACTACCCTGTCTTTTGTTCTCCCCTGCTTCATTAACTGCTCATTAATTCATTAATTCCCTCTCTCTCTCATACCTGTCATACCTGCTCCACTGTGTCTCTGTTCACTTCCTTTCAGCATGGAATAAACCTTTAACTGTTCAATGGAATTCAATGTATTTTATATAGCGCCTTTCACATCAAGGTTGCCCCAAGGCCCTTAACAAAGCTGTGTGACAGTACATAACAGTACAATTCAGGAAGAGAAAAAGCCAGAAGACATCAGAGGAGAGGAACCAAAAACTCTTCAGTAAGGAGAAAAGAAACCTTTAGGGTCAACTGGCTGCCCAA